AATACTAAACAATGATAAATAAAATTTTCAAAATTATAGGACTGCATGCGTACATCTAGACATTAGTTATTAATTTGAGTAATTATTTGCACAAATTCTGTTGGTGATAATGAACCACAATCGATTTAATATCCGTAAAATAATATTTATATATATACACACGAAATATATATAAAATATTATAGGATATATATCCGAAATATATATATACACACAAATATATATAAAACGGACCCAACGGTTATATATACATGTATATCTACGAAAAAGATATACCAATATATATCAACCAAAAAGAAAATATAATCCTTAGATTATAATTCCAAAACAACAAGAAAGAACGGATTTTTGCTTAGAGCATAATCCAAAACAAGAAAGAAGGAGAAGGAAGAAAGATTCGTACGAGTTAGGCAAAGTGCCTGTCTTTCCTTAAAACCTTATTTGCCACCTCCCAAAAGTGCTAGGAGCGTTGTGGCCTAGGTTTCCCAGGATAAAACGTACAACGGTTCGACGTTTGAGCACCCAAACGAACGAACCCGGCGAACTAGAGCATGGGACGAACACAGCTACAAGAAGGGAGTAGGAGCAGAGAGTTTGGAGCTGGGAAAACAGAATTTCAGTGTTGTGTGTGTTGTTTTCAGTCTGAGCACCCCCGGCCCCCCCCCCCCCCCCCCGCGCGAGAGAGCCTCTATGCTATACAATTCTACAAGCTCCAAAAGAGCTCTTGTATAAAAGGGGGTGAAATCCTCTTTCCAAATCAATGTGGGACAAAGCTCACTTTTCCCTTACATTTTTCCAACTCAATGGGTCTACTTTGAGAATCAATATCTCATTCACCCATTATCCGTTTTGAGCGTACAATATATCAATCTCTTCGTCTCACTACGAAGAACCCGAATCCACTTTGACCCGATCCAAATTAGAAGTGGACCCCACTGATAATTGTACCACAAAATAGCCACTTAACATGTCATTTTATGCCATTTTAATGCTATTTTTCCAACAAATTCAAGCAATGATAACATCAATATATATATATATATATATATATATATATATATATATATATATATATATATATATATATATATATATATATATATAAACGATTCAAATCATATCTTTAATTGCACTATATAATATTTGATGTTCTAATTTAAATAATTATACATCGATTTATATATTCTTAATATATTACAACAAATCCATTCCGTGCATCGCACGGGTGCAAATACTAGTACCTATATAATCCAAAATACAGAATATGCACATTTACATCCCAATAAGTGTATTTCTAATTGTAGTACAACTTTTAGGACTCATTTACAAAAATAAAATAAAATAAAATAAAATAAAAAACATAGGACTATTTGTGATAGCGCAACTTTAGAGAAGTTGGAAGACTTAGGGTGCGTTTGATTTGCACATGAGAATCAGAATGTTTGGTTTGCACATGAGAATCAGAATGGAAATCAAATACTTGGTAATGGTAATGAGTTTTGGAGAAAGTATTTTGCATGTTTGGTAGTAGGGTCGAATTGGAATGATTATCAATATTGATGTTTGGTTGTGCCTGACCGTATAATGGGAATAAATGTTTTAAAAATGCAAAAACAAAAAATTAAAGAAATTGATCCTAATATAATGACAACCAAAACATCAATATGAATCCAAAAAAAAAAATCAAAACAAAACTCTAAAAGTACTAATCCGAACTTAAAAATTAGATTACCAATAAGATGGAATGATACCCCTTTTTAAGGGATTTTAAATTCCCTTCCCACTTAATTCCCACCTAATTCCCAAGACCATTAAATTCCGTAGTTTGGTTGGAGGGAATTTCAATTCCATGGAATTGCAATTCCCCTATTTTCATGGAATTAAAATCCCATGTCCCCCCCTGGTATTTTAATTCCTGGAAAAAAAAAATAGTGATGAGTCAAAATTACCCCTTCTTTTTTTAACCTAAAATTAATGTCTAACAACAATAATGGACATTTTTGACTTTATATTACTTATTCCCTTTTAATTCCCATGTATACCAAACATTGGAATTGAAATTCCCACTAATTCTATTCCTGTCAACCAAACACTGGAATTTAAATTCCACTTTATTCCCAGTAATTCAACTCCCATGGAATTACAATTCCTTTCCCACATAATTCCCTCCCTCCAACCAAACGCCCTGTTAGGGAATGATATTTTTAACTGAAGGGGTAATCAAATCCCATAGTTGTGTTTCAAAATGATGTCAACCAAACAATAACTGTGATTTTGATTTTCATTCCTAGTGTGTAAACTCATGAACTGAACACACCTTTATTGTGGTAGACTAGCTTGTAAGTTGAGGACTAAAACTTGTAGCATCTCAAATTCAAAGGACTATTATTGATAGCTTTAAAAAAGTTAAAGGACTTATTGTGGTAGGCTTGTAAGTTGAGGACCAAAGTTACTAATGCCTCAAACTAGGGAATCTTTAGTGGAATTTACTCAAAATTCTTTATCCCTACACTTATTTATATCTTGTCAATTCATACTTCACAGACACAAGCACTTTTACACAAACAAGTCTTAACAATCAAGTTGCAATTTATAACTAAAACATATGCAAAAAAGTTTTGTTGTACCAACTTTTGTGTATGTGTTCTTTAGTATAACAAAAATGTTATAAAAATATATTCGTGTAATAACCATGTTATTATACAAATATGACACTCTTTAACTCCCCCTCTATTAAAACCCTAGCCCCTTTCCCTACATCCACCGATCCACACGTAAAAAAATAACCCCAGTTTTAAAATATCTTTCTTTCAGAAGAGTTATTTTCACAAATAAATAAATAAATAAATGACAATACAATTAAAGAGTAAATATATACTAGAAGACATGTCACTCACCTTGTGCTTAGATGACATGTAATGACCTTTTCCATGTAAAAGGTTATGAGATTGAGCCTCAGTGGAAGCATTGTTGACTCTTTGTATGTAATAGAGTCCATACCATTCCCCTTATTTTTAAGGTTGCCACAATGTTAATTAAAAAAGTTTATATCTTTTTTGTGTATAACTATATATAACTAATTTTATCCAACACTTTTAAAGCAATATTTTACTTTAGGCTTATTACTAAAACTAACCAAACCATTAATAATTTAATACCAACATTTTGTATTTTATAACAATTACACCAAAACAAATATGCAAGAGAATAATCTTCATATATTTAAAATTTGATAAATTAATATCAAAACACTTATATTTTAGGAAAAATAGTCAAATAGGCCCTTGAATTTTAGCTGAAAAGTCAATTAGCCTCCTAAACTTTTTAAAAATGCAATTAGACCCATCAACAATTTATTTTGATGCAACGAAGCCCAAAAATAGGTTAATGACATGCTATCACATGTCATTAGGGTTTCGGAGGTCACAGAGAAGTAGACCAAGGTCACCACTCCGTAGAGAAGGCAACCACAGTGGTTGCCATCTCGCTTGAGAAGGCGACCATAGTGGATTAGTGGTTGCCTTCTCCGGTTGAGAAGTCGACCATCTGGGTCGTCGACTATCAGGGTTGCCGGCGGAATCTCGCTGACGGGTTGATGGAACTCTAACAACATGTGATATCAGGTCATTATCCGGTTTTTGAGTTTCATTGCATTAAAATAAATTGTTGATGATGAGTGTAATTGCACTTTTAAAAAGTTTAAAAGTTAATTGACTTTTAAGCTAAAGTTCGATGTCTTATTTAACCATTTTCCCTATGTTTTATAACAATTATAATTTGTAATCTAAGAAAAAAAAAAGCAGTAGTTTAACTCAACTTTCTTGAATTAGCACCAAAAAAAAAAAAAAAAAAAAAAACCAATAAATCTTTATTTTATCAACTTAACTTTTGAACTAGATGTGTAAAATGAACCAATAAAGGCTAGGTCGACCATTTAAGTAGACTACCATTTTCATGCAGGGCCCTTCTGGAAGGAAGGTGAAGCGTCAATTCCCGATGTCTACTCTATCCAATTATCCTAATAATTCTCATTATTTATTCATGTCGACCAAGTTAAAATAAATAAATAAATAATATACAGTACATAACTGTACAATTCATGACATGTGAACAAAGGCTAAGATGGAATGACATTAAAAATTATGAATGCATACAGTACTCTACCCAGTAATCCTAACCTGATCTCTTTTGCATGCTCAATCTCAGATTACCTTAATTAATCCTAAGATTAGGGTTACGGCGCTAATCTATTCAGGCACCCAACAGTATGGATGCTTTAATGGCTTAAGTAACTCCACTTAACATTTGTGTATGTATTCGCATATATTAATTAAAGAGTTAATATACCTGATAGTCACGTCTAGTCCTAATTATCTGTAAATTTTATAACTTTCATTGTAGTTAACTTGAAGTTCAGAAAATCAGTCAAAATTACTATACTCGAAGGATCCTAGATGACGAGTTAATTAAACATGGTCCTGTATTATGGTTGCAGATTAGAGTTGCAGTATGTGTGGTGTATTAAGTAGATGGTTGGTTGACGGACAAAACCCTAGCAAGAATCAACGTTCTAATAATGATTTGAACTGACAAATTAAAGCTAAGCTAGCTTTACCAAATCCAGATCTTCCTAACCAAACATTATCAGATACATACCCTTTACCCTATCCTTATTGCTAACATTTTATGATTTTAAACATTCAAATGATGAACTAACGTACGGCAAACAACCTTAACCTTCAACTCTCCGATCCGTTCAGATCATCATCATCATCATCAACCTCCACATAACCTAGCTCCATATATGCGGTTTCAATTCTTTCCAGAATATTATATTGTTGGTTCACTTGCTTTAATTAAATTTGTTCATAAATCATAATTATGTATGATGGGAAGGATGATTAAGCTAAACTTGAAGTACTGAAAATCTATATATGTAGGATAATAATACAAACTACAAAGATTAAGATTTTATATATGGAATGAAAATAGGATGATTACATTAATAAATTTAGCTTGAAATAGGAAAGCTGTTAACTAGCTTACAAATAAAGAAATTAAATGAAATGAAATGCAAGCTCCCATGGCAATGATCGAGAGATTACATATATTACATTTAGGGCATATATATATATGCATGCTTTTATTATATATATATATGATGCATGCATGGCTACTTACAGTAATATTATGTGTTATTAGGGATAGTTCCAGAGGTTGTGATCAGTAGCTGTAGAAGCGTAGTCATAATCATAATGATCGTAAGAGTATTGCTGGAATCGTGGAGGGCTAAGAAGCATCCCTTCCGCCATATTCGCTATAACATTCGGCATGTCGAAAATTAAGTCCTCGTCCACAAATTCATTGTGAGTTTGATGATGATGATGATGTTCGTATGTTTCATCAGCGGCTATTCCTCCGCTATAATTATCCACTTGGGCCGGCCTTAGTGCATCGGCGGCGGCCCCAGCGGCGGCGGCAGCAAGGGCGGCGGCTTCTTGAATGTCGCGTGAGGAGTTGGAAGCAGGGATAGGCAAGGAGGCGGCGGAATTCGGGAAGTTGAGCTCAGCGTGTGGGCCTTTTAAGGCCAGCGCCGCCACGTCGTAGGCCACGGCCGCCATTTCTGGGGTGGGGAAAGTCCCGAGCCAGATCCTGTTAGGCGATCTGGGCTCGCGAATCTCCGACACCCATTTCCCGCTGCTCTTCCGGCGCCTCACTCCCTTGTACGCCGCCGCCTCCGAGGAGTCCCGTGTTTCGTTATTGCTTCTCCAACCTCTCGTCGACATTCCAATAAGTTTATGTTGATGAAGAGATGATGATGATGATGATGATGAGTGCAGTGGGATGGTGAAACGGCGGCCATTTAAGAAGGCGGAGGAGATTAGGGCTAAGTGCAAACCAGTTGGAGATGATCGATCAAGAATGGATCGGAAGTGGTATATAGCTAGGTGTGAAGGAGTTTGGCTGTCAGCCAGAAGCCCAGAAAGCAGCGTTAGTTAGTTTGTTGGACATATGGGTTGGAGAGCGTTTTCTTATTCTTTTTTCTTTCTTTTTTTAAATAAAAAACCCTCTAAAATTCATGTATACTTGTAAGGATTAAGAATGACATATGTGATGAATACAGAATTTTGATATGATTTAAGTTCTGTCCCACTGAGAGAGCAAATCTAGATTGTGTACCGTGCGCACAGAATAGTGTGATGGGGATGTTGATTGGACTAATTATGAACTCTTTTTTTCTCTTTTAGTGTTTGTGGTTCTCTATTTATATGATGTCTGAATCATTGCATATATATGCCTTCAACACATTAATCACCGTTTAATTTGGGGCTAAGTATATGTGAGTGTGCAGTGGTGAATGTACTTGTGCAGCACAAGCACTCTCTTAATTGGTTCAAAATGAAGCATTATGAGAGTGAATGGGATTATTCTTAATTAATTAGTTCAAAACTGATATCATAGAATTTCATCCCCGCAGGCCACATCAAAGAAAGTTTGTACTTAGTTCTATGTATATAGGCTAATAGGCATAACCAGTAGGTTTCTGGCAAACAGTGGAAATGGACTAGTCCAATAAGCATCTCCATTACTTTGAGATTTTTTTGTTGATTTTTAGGTTGCTATGCAGGAGAGAGGAGAGAGGGAAAATGTGAGAAAAAGAAAAGGAAAAAAACAGTCTGTTTAAAGCGCTCAGTCTGGCGCATGGTGTGCACACACCCGGCTAGTATTTCATCCCGCAAGCCACATGAAAGAAAGTTTGTACTTAGTTCTAATTATATAGGCTAATATAGGCATAACCAGTAGGTTTCTGGCAAACAGTGAAAATGGACTAATCCAATCCAAGAGCAACCCTAGTATGGTTTTTACTCAGTTTTTGAAGAAAAAAAAATTATGGCCCTGTTTGGTAAAATGGCTGTTAGCTGATAGCTGTTTGCTGTTAGCTGATTATGTTAATTAGAGAGTATAAATAGTTGATAACATTAGCTGATTGTAGAAAAGTGTTTGGTAAATTAGCTGTTTGCTGATAGCTGTTTGATATAATTTCTTTTCTTAAAAAGTTAATTGAAAAAGTTGCTAGGAATAGCTTTTTTAATTTTAGCCTTTTGGAGTTGTAAAAAGCTAATTAACCAAACATTTATATTGATATTTTAACTAAATCAAATAATTAATAGTGATCAAATAAGCCAAAATTGGCCTATAGGCCAATTTTTTACCAAACAGGGCCTATATGTGTTGTTTTTGAATAAGCCAGATGACTACTTTGGGGAAACTAAAAGTTAAAGGATCAATTTAAGAAAAAGGCTTTGGGAATTAACTCTTTATAAAAAATATCCCTAAATTTGACTCATAATAAATGACAAATCAAACAAAGGATGCAATTTAGAGAATATAGCAAAGTTAGAAATAAAATGTGACCAAATTGATAGAAAGGGATTAAATGTGAAAATATCAATGTTGTAGAATTATTAATAGTGAAATTAGTAATTATCTTTAAGCTCATTCAAATACTATAATATAATGTTATTATTGTATAAAAGGAAAATTCTAGGGGTCTAACAAAGAACTTGGGCATTGGACAAGTTAATTTTGTGTGGAAGTAGAGAAATAATTTTTGTGGTTAGAACACGAGTCGTCAAGTTAATTTTGTCTTGTGTGGAAGTAGAGAAATAATTTTTGTGGTTAGAACACGAGTCGTCCTAAGCAGGCCAGCAATCCAGGTCAATTAAGGGACAAAGAACAAAGGGCAATATTGTTTTTTTCTATACGAGAGGGGGGTTTGAACTCCCGACCTCTCTTAAGCGACGAGAGTACATATGCAATCACTCACGCCAACGAAACTGGTTAGTAGAGAAGATAATTAATTTGTTCTTTTTCCCTATTGGCTACGGAGTATTAATTACATAGTATGATGATTTTGTGCTGCAAAATATTGACTAAACCTTGAACATTAATTATAGTGATACTTACGTATGTATATGAACTTGTACTCCGCGGCAAGTCTTGTTGAGGAGAGGTAAAGTGTAATTAGTGGAAGAATTAGGTGTGAGAATGTCTCGTACCGACTTGATTAGGCTAAATCACCCACTATTATTAATTATATGCAAAACTAATCTTGAATTATATTCAATTCTTTCTTAAGTCTTACTGTTCCATCTTAGGTTCTAGCTTGGACCTATGATGAACTGCTATTTATTCTTCACTAATTATCTTAATATTCAACACACTACTTCAATTCATGTACTATATGTCTATATCTTTGGCGTAATTTGGCACCAAGGATTCAAGGAACTTTGCCGACATAACGTACTGCTTCCAAGAAACTTCGGACTATATTCACACTTGAAAAGTGAAAACACGTAACAAGACATGGAATCAGCCGACTTAGAAAAATTAAGGTTGCAAAGACGAAGAATATAATAGAATGAACTTACTTGTGCTAACATATATGATAACACACTGGCACTGTACTCGGTTATATGGGATTAGCTAAATATGTTTGTATTGCCTCTGAAAGTAACAATTAACAATAGTGAATACATGAATAATTTAAGGGGAGGGGACGCTATAAATATATAATTTAGGAGGGAAAGACGTTATTTTTTTAATGCTACTGGCTCAACTAATAACGCCTCCAATGAGGCTCGAACTTACAATATGTTACTGTTAATTAATAATGGTAATAAGCTTTATTATCCACTCTACTAAATGCCTACACCAGATAAAAATAATGAGTTAATTCAATTTTTGGTCATAAATTTATAGGTGACAATTCACTTTTAATCTCTCTTTTTTTTTTCTCTCTTTCAAACATTCTCCTTTGATCTTAGTATTATTGTGTCATGACTATTTTTGGTCATCCATCAACAAAATTGTTTAAATTTCGTAAAATACAAATATATTTAGGTCTTCAATTATGATTTTTTAAATAATATATATATATATATATATATATATATATATATATATATTTATTTATTTATTTATTTATTTATTTATATTTAGCAGGTCAACCCACTTTGTATAAAAAAGATCAAAATGTTCTTGTAGTTAACGACATTTCAACAATTTTGTTGATGTATGACAAAAAATGATCATGCCACAATTATATTAGGACCAAAAGTGGATGTTCTGAAAAATTAAAGAATAACTAAAAGCGGACTACCACCTATAAATTTAGGACCAAAAATGAATTACCTCTAAAAATAATTGTACTAATATTATCAGTGGGAGGGAAAGACGTGATATTACTACAATGCCATTAGACCGCACCAGTCAGGGGCGGATCCACAATGGGGACAGTGGGGGCAGCTGCCCCCTCCCCCACCCCATTCCCTTTATATATATTTTATTATATGTATACGCTACTTATATATACAGACTAAACATCTATAAATACTAAATGTACAAATAATAAACAAAAGAATGAGTTAGCTTACTTGGTAAGGTTTTTGTTAGTGTGTGAAATGTCTTGGGTTCAAAACTTACAGAATTGTAATTCCATGGGAGTTGAATTACTGGGAATAAAGTGAAAATTTAAATTCCATTGGTATAAGTATAAAGTGACAGGAATTGAATTACTCGGAATTTCAATTCCAATGTTTGGTTTCGAATTTCAATTCCAATGTTTGGTATACATGGGAATTGAAAGGGAATAAGTAGTATAAAGTCAAAAATGTCCATTATTGTTGTTAGACATTAATTTTAGATTAAAAAGGAAGGGGTAATTTTGACTCATCACTATCTTTTTTTCTCAGGAATTAAAATCCCAGGGGGGGACATGGGATTTTAATTCCATGAAAATGGGGGAATTGCAATTCCATGGAATTGCAATTCCCTCCAACCAAACTACGGAATTTAATGGCATTTGGAATTAGGTGGGAATTAAGTGGGAAGGAAATTTAAAATCCCTCCAACCAAACGCCCTGTTAGTGTATTAACTTTCTAAATTTTATCTTTTGGCCTTTTTTAAATACTAATAGTGAAATTATAATTGTGATTTATGATATTAATTTCGAATTCTAATTGGGCTCTCTATATGTAACATTGAAGTTTTCTTTTAAATATTAATAGTGAGATGAGTGATTTATAATGTTATTTCTATTTGAACTATGTTTTTGTTTTGAATATTTTTACCGCATTTTAATGTTTTTTTTTTATCCCTAGTCAACTACATTTATCACTCTGCCTCTAAGTGTTTCATTTTATTTTTCTTTTGCCACACTAAAGAAAATTTCTAGGTCCGCACCTGGTACCAGTAAACAATATTTGATGTCAAAACATGACATGAGTAAGGTTTATGATAGAGTGGAATGATATTTTTTAAAGATGATTTTGGTTTTTTATTCATAAGTAGGTTAATGTTGGGCGGAGACTTTGAAGGCCGAGTCCAACATCCTGCTATCAAAATGTAATGATGACTACTACGCAAGTATAAGAAAATAAAGTTATGTATCCGTTACTAGTTATAATTTATGATGTAGTGATAAGCATTTGATCTTATTTGTGTTTATACAGTTATATATTCACTCATTCTAATTTCTAAATGGTAATCAGCTGTGTTATTTCTTGCTAGAGAGAGGGATAAGTCAAGGTGATCGATGACCGCGGACTGTCTATTCCATTTTAATTTGTACGTACTGAAATTATTTCTTGATTAAAGTATGTACAAATTCTAAAAAGTAACTCATTGTTTTCTGCAAATAATTCGTTGATTTTTTTATTTTTTTGGGAGCCTACATAAGGTAGTTAATTTGAAGAAAATTTTGGTGGGATAGTTTGAGTTTTTTGAAGATAGATCATTCTTAACTTTCAATCGTTATGCCTTGGACCCGTGTCCAGCATGCTTGCTGGACACGGGTAACAGTGCCGTTAGGCACTGTTTTTTTTTTTTTTTTTTTTTTCGATCACTTTGTTATAGAAGTATATGTTCATAACTTTATTACTATATGTTAATAACTATACATTCATAACTCCATAACTGTACGTTCATAACTCTATAACTGTACATTCATAACTCTATAACTGTACATTCATAACGTCATAACTGTAC